CATCACCAGAGCTGGACACAAGGAATTTCATAGAGTGGGCAATAGACTGCCAGACCAACCCCCTCTGATCCCCCCCCACCCCCCCACCAGGGGTCTGCCCACTGAGAAACAACTAGTTTAGATATATGAGGGTGTTGGACTATCCAGGGAGGTCAGTTATTCATTTTTCTTTTGTCAGTAACTTCTAGGAGACCTATACCATCTAAGACTCCCACAAGAATTCTATATGGGGTAAACATATGTAAGGAATTTCTTGTGTTTTCTCCTATTTTATTTTATGTACTGTTTTGCAATTTGTTTTCTGTATGTCATTTATTTCTGTATTTTGTACTCAGCACTGTGAATCCTTTTTGTCAGATTAAATGTTTACTTAATCAGCTTGTGTCTCTGTTCTCTATGAGCTTCACTCTCCAGAGGAAAGCTCAGGTAAACACGTTACCAAAAGGGGTTAACTATATATGTTTTATCAGTAAAAGTAGAACTGTGATACTATAATTCTCCTGTGTGTGGGGTAACCTAAGAGGCCCGGGTTTAAAAGTCTTGGTGGTGGCAGTAGTACTAAGGGGGATAGTGTAGAAGGGATTGCAGGGGTTAATTGAGTGGTTGCTGGGACTAGCAACAGGTAACCAGGGGTCTGGTGTCATTAACCCTGTCACTTCCACACTCTCCCCACTGTCTCGGCTGGGCCTATAGCCCACGCACGTGACAAATGGATATCACCAAGTGAGCATTTTAAAATTATTTGAAGAATTTTAAAATGATTTTAGCACTACCTTAAAGGACCACTCTAGGCACCCAGACCACTTCAGCTTAATGAACTGGTCTGGGTGCCAGGTCCTTTTAGGGGTAACCCATTTTTTTATGTTTATCAATGGGTTAAGCCTTCCCCCATTCCCTCTAGTGGCTGTCTCATTGACAGCCACTAGAGGCGCTTGCGTGCTTCTCACTGTGATTTTCACAGTGAGAGCACGCAAGCGTCCATAGGAAAGCATTGTAAATGCTTTCCTATGCGACGGGCTGAATGCGCGCGCAGCTCTTGCCGCGCGTGCGCATTCAGCCCAGGAGGAGGAACGGAGGAGGATCGGAGGCAGAGAGCTCCCCGCCCAGCGCTGGAAAAAAGTAAGTTTAAACACCTTTCCCCTTTCCAGAGCCGGGCGGGAGGGGGACCCTGAGGGTGGGGGCACCCTCAGGGCACTATAGTGCCAGGAAAACGAGTATGTTTTCCTGGCACTATAGTGGTCCTTTAATCTAACTTTTTGGTAAATATTAAGTTGGTATAAAATTGAGAACATGATTGTTCTTAAAAGGGACACTATAGTCACCAGAACAACTACAGCTTATTGAATTTGTTCTGGTGAGTAGAATCACTACCTTCAGGCTTTTTTGCTGTAAACACTGTCTTTTCAGAGAAAATGCAGTGTTTACATTACAGCCTAGTGATAACTCATCAGATGGCTGTTAGAGATCCTTCCTGGGTCATGGCTGCCTAATATGCATCCAAACATTCAGGGTCTCCTCCCTCTGCATGCAGACATTGAACCTTCCTCATAGAGATTCGTTGATTCAACTCATCTCTATGAGGAGATGATGATTGGCCAGGGCTGTGTTTGAATTGTGCTGATTCTGCCCCTAATCTGCCTCTGTCAGTCTCAGCCAATCCTATGGGGAAGTATTGGGATTGGATCAGGCTACCACTGCTGATGATGCCAGCAGGCAGGTCTAAAGGAAACAGCTAAGCAGCTCCAGACTTGAATACAAGTAAGATTTTACTAATTGTAGGGAGGCATGAGGGACCAGGGGGGCTAGATGGTGGTTTTAACCCTATAGGGTCAGGAATACATGTTTGTTTTCCTGACCCTATAGTGCTCCTTTAACCTGTCCTTCGTCAGTGCGAATCTAGTCCAGTAGGTCATCTTGAGTGACAGGAGACTACGACATTACTGTACTCTTGCACAAAGTATAGCAGTGAGGTCTATGGAGGATCACGCGAGACCCTGAATAGACAAAACTAATTCCTTTTCAGACGTCACTTGTAAAGACTCTTGGAACGGACACTGTAGCTATGCCCAGAGTCTAGGAAAGGGGGGGTTGGGGGGGGAAGGGATACATCCGACTTTAACAAAACAAACAAAAAAAACAACTATTAAATACATACTTTTGTTTACTGGTGGTACCCATTTCTTAATTAGAAAATATGCGCCTTTAGCTAATGGTTGCTTGTTTAATAGTGAATATAGATCTATCAATAGCAGCTACTTTGCTGCTATTTTGGTGTCTTAAGAAGGCCTTTAAAATAGAAGGGGTGGGGGGTTGGAGAGGAGACCATAGCGGATGGACACCCAGTGATATAATAACTGCCTATCTTTGCACAATAAAGACAGAAGAAGGATATACTATTTCCAAACACACCAAGCTACATTTTCCTGCATAGTAAATAATTCTATACACTGCATTCATTATCTAGTGAACAGCACATCCCTCCCTGTCATATACATCACAGCAGCTGATCCAGCTATACACAGCCTAAGCTGTCACACTACATGCAGGCAGAGTATTGATTCCACATAGGAGATGATCTATAGATTGTATTGATTACACATAGGAGATGATCTATAGATTGATTCCACATAGGAGATGATCTATAGATTGATTCCACATAGGAGATGATCTATAGATTGTATTGATTACACATAGGAGATGATCTATAAATTGTATTGAAATGAATGGATGGAATTTATGAAATGTGCCGGTCAGATAGGATAGAATATGATTATATGTTACAGCCTGCCCCTGATCACCCTCCTTGCCCTGACCCTGCCAGCTATATACACACAGCCCGTCCCACCCCCATACAGATTAGCATGCTCTGTGCCCTGGGTGTCCGCCCAGCCCGCCCCCTGTCACTCACTGAGCTGTCCCCCGGGGTTGGGGATGCTGACCCCGGGTGCCGCTCCTGCCGCCGGTCTCTCGAAGTTGCCCGGATTGGAGAAGTAGTCCCGGAGTCGGGGCAGCTCCCGGCCGCTCTCCATCAGCTCGGTGTGCATCTCCAGGGCCGTCAGCAGCAGCTGGTCCCGCAACAACTGAGCGGCCACCGCGTCCAGCGGCACCCGGCCGGGCTCCCCCGGGAGCTGGGGCAAGCGAGGACCGGGGGGCGGCTGGGCCTCGTCCGGGAGACAGCGGGCGGTGTGCATGGAGCCCGGGCGGGGGTCCAGCGGGGACATATTCTCCGGCTCCTCGTTATCATCATCGTCCTCCTCATCTTCCTCCTCCTCCTCCTCGGCTTCTTCCTCCTCAGAGTCGCTCAGGAAGGGGTTAACGCTGCTGCTACTGGTGCTGGGGCCCACAATACCCGCGGAACCCCCGGGGTTAGAGGGAGAGGAGCCGCCCGGGCCTGGACCTGCTGCAGGGGCCGCCATCTTGTAATGAGGAGGAGACTGGAGGGAGAGGGAGGAGACACCCCTCGCTGTATTATAACATTCTATATAGTATTACTATAACCTGCTCACTGTATTATATGACATTCTATATGGTGTTACTATAACCCCATATGCAATATTATAGACATTCTGTATATGGTCTTGCTATAACCTTAACAAACATGTTATGGCATTTGCATGACACTTAACAAACGTGTTATGAAAACATTCTATATAGTGTTTCTATAACTTATAACAAACATGTTATAACATTCTATATGGTGGTACTATAACTTATAACAAACATTAAGCATTCACCATATAGTATTACACTATAACATAACAAGCTGTGTTAGCAGCTTTGTTCTGTATAGTGTACTATAGCTTATACCAAACTTATTATTATAGTTCTATATGGTATTACTATAACTTACTTAACAAACAACTATTATAACATTCTATATAGTATTACTATAACCTGCTCGCTGTATTATAACATTCTATATAGTATTTCTATAACCTGCTCACTGTATTATAACATTCTATATAGTGTTACTATAACCTGCTCAACGTATTATAACATTCTATATAGTATTAATATAACCTGCTCAACGTATTATAACATTCTATATAGTATTACTATAACCTGCTCGTTGTATTATAACATTCTATATAGTATTACTATAACCTGCTCGCTGTATTATAACATTCTATATAGTATTTCTATAACCTGCTCAACGTATTATAACATTCTATATAGTATTACTATAACCTGCTCGCTGTATTATAACATTCTATATAGTATTTCTATAACCTGCTCGCTGTATTATAACATTCTATATAGTGTTACTATAACCTGCTCGCTGTATTATAACATTCTATATAGTATTACTATAACCTGCTCAACGTATTATAACATTCTATATAGTATTACTATAACCTGCTCGCTGTATTATAACATTCTATATAGTATTTCTATAACCTGCTCACTGTATTATAACATTCTATATAGTGTTACTATAACCTGCTCAACGTATTATAACATTCTATATAGTATTAATATAACCTGCTCAACGTATTATAACATTCTATATAGTATTACTATAACCTGCTCGTTGTATTATAACATTCTATATAGTATTACTATAACCTGCTCGCTGTATTATAACATTCTATATAGTATTACTATAACCTGCTCGTTGTATTATAACATTCTATATAGTATTACTATAACCTGCTCGTTGTATTATAACATTCTATATAGTGTTACTATAACCTGCTCACTGTATTATAACATTCTATATAGTGTTACTATAACCTGCTCACTGTATTATAACATTCTATCTAGTATTACTATAACCTGCTGGCTGTATTATAACATTCTATCTAGTATTACTATAACCTGCTGGCTGTATTATAACATTCTATCTAGTATTACTATAACCTGCTGGCTGTATTATAACATTCTATCTAGTATTACTATAACCTGCTCGCTGTATTATAACATTCTATCTAGTATTACTATAACCTGCTCGCTGTATTATAACATTCTATCTAGTATTACTATAACCTGCTCGCTGTATTATAACATTCTATCTAGTATTACTATAACCTGCTCGCTGTATTATAACATTCTATATAGTATTACTATAACCTGCTCGCTGTATTATAACATTCTATATAGTATCGTTTGCTCTCAATTACCCCCTCACCCAACAATCTCAGCCTAAACCCCCTCAGCTCAGGAGGAACCTTAACTCTATTGACCTCCAGCAGCTGTCAGCTGACATTGATTCACAACTGCTATCCATCCCTTCCCTCTCCTGTCCCTCACTGGCCGTCTCCACATACAACACTACCCTCACATCTGCCTTGAACGCTGCAGCCCCTCTCAAAACATGCACCTCGAGGAGGACACGTCCCCAACCTTGGCATAATAAATCAACACGCTATCTGCAGAGTTGCTCCCGTTGTGCCGAACGCTCCTGGAGGAAGTCCCGCACCCAGGCAGACTTTCTCCATTATAGATTCATGTTGCTTTCATACAGCACAGCCCTCGCCCTCGCCAAACAGTCATACTTTTCCTCTCTCATTAGTTCATGCTCCCGCAATCCCAGACGTCTCTTTGACACCTTTAATTCCCTTCTCTGCCCTGCTGTGGCCATCCCCCAAACTAACCTTACAGCTGATAGCTTTGCATGCTACTTTACCGACAAGATTGAACAGCTAAGGAAACAATTCTCCCCTCCTTGCTGTTCTCTTTCTCAACCACATGTAAATCTTGCTTTCCCTACCCTCCAGACTTTCTACCCGGCTACTGAACAAGAGGTGGCTTCGCTTCTCCATTCCTCTCGCCCCACCACTTGCCCGCTCGATCCTGTCCCATCTCACCTCATCAGATCTCTCTCCCCTTGTCTTGTGCCTACCCTAACACACATCTTTAACTGCTCTCTCTCTTCTGGCACTGTTCCTGCTGACCTTAAACATGCCACTGTAATACCTATCCTGAAAAAAACATCTCTTGACCCGTCCTCCCCTTCTAACTATCGTCCCATATCCCTGCTCCCTTTCTCATCAAAGCTTTTGGAAAGACTTGTCTTTACCCGTGTGTCTCGCTTCCTTAATTCCAACTCTCTCCTTGACCCTCTTCAGTCTGGCTTCCGCCCTCTCCACTCTACTGAGACTGCTCTTATCAAAGTGACTAATGACCTAATCTCTGCAAAATCCAAAGGTCACTACTCCATATTAATTCTCATTGACCTCTCTGCTGCCTTTGACACCGTTGATCATGCTCTCCTCCTTCAAACTCTTCAATCGCTCAGTCTCTGTGACTCTGTCCTCTCTTGGTTTTCCTCCTATCTCTCCCAACGCTCATTCAGTGTCTCCTTTTCCAAGGATACCTCCTCCCCTCGTCCTGTCTCGGTTGGAGTTCCCCAAGGGTCTGTCCTTGGTCCCCTCCTATTTTCTCTTTATACTGCCTCTCTAGGTAAACCTTTTGCCTCTTTTGGATTCCACTACCACCTGTATGCTGATGACACTCAGATATACCTCTCCTCCCCGGACCTCTCCCCTGCCGTCCTGCAACGTGTCACTGCTTGCCTTTCCTCCATCTCTGACTGGATGTCCTCACGCTTTCTGAAACTTAACCTCTCTAAAACTGAACTCCTTGTCTTTCCTCCTCCTAATACTGATCCTCCTCTCTCGCTCTCCCTTCAACTCAGTGATATCCACATAAGTCCATCCTGCAAGCGCGCTGTCTTGGCGTCATACTTGACTCTGGTCTCACCTTTGAGCCTCACATCCAGTTTGTTGCCAAGTCCTGTAGGTTCCAACTCAAAAACATAACCCGCATTCGCCCCTTTCTTACGCAAGATGCTACCAAGGAGCTTGTCCATGCTCTAGTAATTTCCCGCATGGATTACTGTAACCCTCTCCTGATTGGTCTCCCCAAAAGCCGTATTGCCCCGCTACAGTCTGTCATGAATGCTGCAGCTAGACTGATCTTCCTCTCTAGTCGGTCCTCTCACACCTCACCCCTCTGCCAGTGCTTACATTGGCTCCCTGTATGCTATAGGAGTCAATTCAAAGTGCTAACCCACACATTTAAAGCACTGAACAATTCTAGCCCCACTTATATCTCTTCACTAATCCATAGATATGCCACTCCTCGTACCCTCCGCTCTGCCCGTGACCACCTCCTGACCGCTGCTCCCACCCGTACGGCCAACTCGCGCTTGCAGGACCTCTCGTGGGTGGCTCCTCTCCTATGGAATAGCTTGCCTACTGCCATCAGACTCTCCCCTAGTCTTCAATCATTTAAGAAGGGCCTTAAAACCCATCTCTTCAGGAAAGCTTATGGCCTCCCAGAGTAATCTATGCCTTACATACCTGTCTCCTGCTCTCTCCTATGGGACAGTGCTTTGCTCTCTCCTCCAGCTCTGCTTCACTCCTACTTGATATTTCCTGTCCTAATGTTTCTAATACCCCACCTCCTATAGTCTGTAAGCTCGTTTGAGCACGGTCCTCTTCAACCTATTGTTCCTGTAAGTTTTCTTGTAATTGTCCTATTTATTGTTACATCCCCCCTCTCAAAATATTGTAAAGCGCTACGGAATCTGTTGGCGCTATATAAATGATAATAATAATAATATTAATATAACCTGCTCGCTGTATTATAACATTCTATATAGTATTACTATAACCTGCTCGCTGTATTATAACATTCTATATAGTATTACTATAACCTGCTCGCTGTATTTTAACATTCTAAATAGTATTACTATAACCTGCTCGCTGTATTATAACATTCTATATAGTATTAATATAACCTGCTCGCTGTATTATAACATTCTATATAGTATTAATATAACCTGCTCGCTGTATTATAACATTCTATATAGTATTAATATAACCTGCTCGCTGTATTATAACATTCTATATAGTATTACTATAACCTGCTCGCTGTATTATAACATTCTATATAGTATTAATCTGCTCACTGTTTTATAACATTATATATAGTATTAATATAACCTGCTCACTGTATTATAACATTCTATATAGTATTACTAAAACCTGCTCACTGTATTATAACATTCTATATAGTATTACTATAACCTGCTCGCTGTATTATAACATTCTATATAGTATTAATATAACCTGCTCACTGTATTATAACATTCTATATAGTGTTACTATAACCTGCTCACTGTATTATAACATTCTATATAGTGTTACTATAACCTGCTCACTGTATTATAACATTCTATATATATAACCTGCTCGCTGTATTATAACATTCTATATAGTATTACTATAACCTGCTCACTGTATTATAACATTCTATATAGTGTTACTATAACCTGCTCGCTGTATTATAACATTCTATATAGTATTAATATAACCTGCTCGCAAGCGTTTACTTACCTTCCCAGCAGCTCCCTGTGTAAATATCGCGAGACCCGCGGCCGTCAGAGCGTTGCCACGGGTTACCATTGCAACGCTCTGCGTGGCACTAAGGGCAGCGAGATTTACACAGGGAGCTGGAGAAGCTGCTGGGAAGGTAAGTAAAAGCTTGCTGCTGCCCCCCCACTGCTCAGTACATACCACTTGACCACCAGGAAATGCCATAGCCCCCTCCCTGGCCAAGTAACAAGCAAGGAGGGGGGACTAAAAAATAAATAATAATAATTAAATATTAAAAAAATATTTTAAAAAAAATGCCCCCTCAATTACATATATACACAAACACACTCCATTATATACACATACACTACACAAACACACTGCATTATATAAACACACTACACAAACACACGGTATATAATGCAGTGTGTTTATATAATGCAGTGTTTGTGTAGTGTGTATATAATTCAGTGTGTTTGTTCAGTGTGTTTATATAATGCACACTACACAAACACACTGCATTATATAAACACACTACACAAACAGTATATAATGCAGTGTGTGTGTGTGTAGTGTGTATATAATGCACACTACACCGACTGCATTATATAAACACACTACACAAACACACTATATATAATGTAGTGTGTATATAATGCAGTGTGTTTATATAATGCAGTGTGTTTGTGTAGTGTGCATTATATAAACACACTGCACAAACACATTGCATTATATAAACACACTATACAAATAAACACACTGCATTCACTATACACACACTACACAAATACACACACTTTGCATTTAGTATATACAGCATTCACTTTACGCACACTATACAAACACTCTGCATTCATTATATACACACTACACAAACACACACTGCATCCACTACACACACACTACACAAAAACACAGCATCCACTATACAAACACACACTGCATCCTCTACACACACTACACAAACACACACTGCATCCACTACACACACACTACACAAACACACACAGCTCCCTGTCTAAACCCACTGCATCCACTACACATGGCATGTATATTTTGTGCATTTACCGTTAGAAATAGTTGTTGGTTTTTTTTTTTTCAAAATGGTAAATGTACAGAATATCGGTAAGTTATCGGCTATCGGCCTGAAATTTCACAGAATATCGGTATCGGTATCGGCTCTAAAAAAATCAATATCAGTCGATCCCTACATAATATATATTAATATACCCTGCTCGCTGTATTATAACATTCTATATAGTATTAATATAACCTTCTCGCTGTATTATAACATTCTATATAGTATTAATCTGCTCACTGTTTTATAACATTATATATAGTATTAATATAACCTGCTCACTGTATTATAACATTATATATAGTATTAATATAACCTTCTCGCTGTATTAAAACATTATATATAGTATTAATATAACCTGCTCACTGTATTATAACATTATATATATATATATATATATATATATATATATATATATATATAACCTGCTTGCTGTATTATTATAAATGTATAACCTGCCCACAGTATTATTATATATATATATAATAGTGTCCCCCACCCCATAGTGTCCCCCACCCCTTCTCCCATAGTGTCCTCCTCCCCTTCTCCCATAGTGTCCTCCTCCCCTTCTCCCATAGTGTCTCCCCCTCCCTTTCTCCCATAGTGTGTCCCCCTCCCCTTAACCCATAGTGTCCCCCTCCCCTCGTCCCATAGTGTCTCCCCTCCCATTGTCCCATAATTACTTACCTGTCTTGGAGCGTGGGCCGGCTTCACAGCGCGCTCCGCCGTCCAGGAACTTCTATTTCAGGTTCCAGTTTCCGGCGGGACTGAAAGGAAGTGTGCACCGGAAACCGGAACCTGAAATAGAAGTTCCTGGACGGCGGAGCGCGCTGTGAAGCCGGCCCACGCTCCAAGACAGGTAAGTAAATCTTCACATTCGCTACATAAGACGCACAGACATTTCCCCTCACTTTTGAGGGGAAAAAAAGTGCGTCTTATGGAGCGAAAAATACGGTATATATATCATATCTAGTATTTGATGTGGAAATTAATTAATAAATTGATTATCTTGCGTATCTGCCCCCGGCCAAATTAAGAAGTAATGCTTGCACGCTCCTAAAGTAATTCACACCAGACACAGGTTTTGGGTTAATGAAAAACTTGAGGAATGTTTATTCTGAGGGGACAGCATGTCCCTTATAAAGCAAAATTACATCATATGCATTGTCAGAGATAACATGAAATAATACATCAATAATTGGTTAGGTGTTAAGTGGTTTATTTAGTGCTCTTCCTACCGGGTGTGATGTCAATGGTATCCTGGAGGTCTCCCCCAGATTCCAGCGCCATCTTGTTAATGAGGGTGTTAGTCGATGTCAAGAAGGAAACTCCCTAGCGGCCATTTTAGGTAAATCGCATAGAAAGTTGAAAAATGCTGATTGTAGTTATGCTGAGTAAATAGGCATTTTAATAACATGAATTGGGTTAATATTTTTGTCCACAACAGTCCCCCCTTAAAATGACTATTTACGACAAAAAAAAGAGGAAAGGACAGACAACTACTAACTAACCCTAATGATGTCCCTAATTGGCTGCAGCTCATCTGTCTGAACAGGCCTCTAACACTTCACTGCGCGGGTATCCCGCAGCGGCTATTCCACTACATCTCCTACTTCAGACTTTTGCACGTAGAGACAGACGCTATCCCTAAGCTGTCCCTATATGGAAGTAGTTGTCTGTTTGAGGTGGTGGGACTGAAGAGGTGTGTCTGGGATGTCACAGTCCATTTCGTCAGCATCTTGATGTAGGAATGTAGGTGTAGCGCGGTCAATAGTCTGACCTACAGTCTTCTGTAAATACTACTGCACACAGGGTATTACAAAGCAAGTCAGGAAGAGAAAGAGAATTACCACAGTAAGAACTGCCATACCTACTTGAAAGAGAGTTTTCTGCCATCCATTCATCCATCCAAACCATCTGTCCCAAATTCGTCAGAAAGACTTTCTAATTTCTCTATGGCCATGGTTACTTTACCATTAGGGCCTGTATTGTCTGGGATGAAGGTACAGCATGTCATAGTATCGGGGAGTATTTTACACACGCCTGCATTTTCTGCTAGGATCATATCTAAGGCCATTCGATTCTGGAATGTCTTTTGGGAGGTAGTCTGTAATTGTTCTGCTAAGCCCTGGAGGGCATCTCTGGTATAATTGACAAATCGTTGCTGGTTATAGTAGATATAATTGATCCAGTTAACATTCTTATTGGCGGTGATGAGTGGGATCAAGGATTCGAATCCTGCCACCACTTCATCTCTGGCCTTGAACTCATTTGGTACCCCCCTTGGTACTCCAATGGCATTGATGTATACATGTGGGTCAAAACTACCTTGAATGGGGGTTTCTCTTTTTACTCTAAGATACATGTGTGGTGAGTCGTATGGGCCTTGGTGGTTATCAGAAAATATGTGTATGGGCATGATAAACTTTAGTCAGAGCACACTCTCCCCACCAGAGGCCAGTCATCTTTGATCTGAGCTGCTTGTCACCACATAGCCAATAAATATCTCCCACGGATTTAACTTGATTTACTAATAAGGCAATGGGAGGTTTTCGATAAATGGCACAGTAGCCAGAAGGGAATTTACCTACAAATTTACCTGTAGTTCCATGTATTGTGTAGCAAGTGTAGTTACCTGGTTTCAACGTGATGCCATCAGGTGGCCCGGTACTCCCTTGAGTTATTGGGTAAACCTTTTTCCATGATTCACACACTGATGAATTCATTGCTGACTGTGCATAAAGGCTTAAGAAACACATCTCAACTTCGGGAGTCAAATTTAAAGGCACTGTACCCAGATGGGGTCGAGCCCCACCACAAACATAACAGTTGGTCTTGTTGTGTAAATTAGCATTATATCTCATCCACTCAAGCCATAGATTAGTATCTGAAAACTCGGTCTCCACAGCCATGGTGTCTTCAAATGTGGGATTGGCAATAGCCACCATGACTTTAAGGGTTCTAATGTGTGGTTTGAGAGGATTAATGGTCATGTGTGTGGAGCCTCCCCAGTCAGGTGACGTAAGCATGTCTTGTAAATAGAAGGTTCCTAACTTATTATGTGAGCCACTCCCTTTCCAATACATTCCCATTACATACTCCGTGGTGTCTCCTGGGCTAGGATGTTCTATGTTTAAGGTGCGCTTCATTGGGGTAGACCCTGTTGGCTTGCACAAAGTCAGTCTGTATAACAAGGGTTTCCCATTGCTGTCAACTCTATCTAAGGCAATTTGTGGTCTGTAGCCCCATGGTCGACCCGTATTCTAACCCGCTGCTTTCCAGGTGCTACAGTGATGGCCCCAATGCCCACCCATCACACAAATATATGGGTTCTTTTTGTTTGGTATGTCTTTGTATATTGCTGAGTGTTGTGACTGGGCAAAAGTACAAGAGACAATATCACAGTAATCAAAGGTGTAAGTAGCTACGCGTGTGTTTGAAGAATTATACCAAAACGTATAGACATGATTATCTTTGGTAATAGCAACTTGTTGGGCCTTTAAGAGGCCTAGCAGCAGACATAGGCATAGTAAACTCATAATTTGACAGGATCTGCTTCCTCTGGATCAGGGACTTTCTTGCAGTGTGAGGCGCGTATCCAGGTATTCTTCCCAGCCAACTTTACAGAGGTAAATGTCAATAGGACCTGAAAAGGACCATCGAACCTTGGCTCAAGAGTGTGTTTTCTTAGGAACTTCTTGACCATGACCCAATCACCAGGAAGTAACTTATGTGTGCCTGTATCTGTCTCAGGATCTGGTATAGAAGAAAACACCTGCACATGGATTTTGGTCAAGGCATGAGAGAGTGCAGTTATATAATCTACCATTGCATCTGACTGAATTTGAAGTTGCTGAGGGAAATAACAGCCTAACCTGGGTGCCGTGCCAAACAAGATCTCATAGGGGGAAAGGTTAAACTTCCCCCTTGGGGTGTACCTTACACTGAACAATGCTATGGGAAGACTCTCCAGCCAGGGTAGGTTAGTTTCTTGGGACATTTTAAGCATTCTGGCTTTCAGAGTGCCATTCATGCGTTCTACCTTACCACCATTATTAATTTAGTCATGTGGACTAAAATCTACTGGAGATTTAGTCGACTAAAACAATTCAGATGACTAAAACTAAAATGGCTTTTAGGTTAAAAAATAAATTGAAATTTACCACCAAAATTACCAATGGTGTGCATTTTTCTTTTAGTTTTGAGCAGTCTTCCAGCCCTCTCCGGCAGATGAACTGATCGGGGAAGACTGGGCTTTCCAGGCAAAATGCCACCCTTGTCAAGGTGCCGCCTGGAGCCATGGCCCCACTGGGACCTATGGATGGGCCGGCCCTTACAGATACAGACACACATACTGACACACAGAAATAAAGATGTAGATACACAGACATACAGATGCACACTGACACAGACATACAGATACATACTGAAACAAACACAGATACACAGGCATACAGATACACAAACTGACCCACACACAGATACACAGACATACAAATATGCACACTGATAAACACACATATACAGAAACATACACTCACGATATACAGATACACACTAACATACACACCGACATACAGATACACACTAACATACAGATAAGCAGACACTGACAAACACTCAGATTCACAGACTTACAAATACGCACACTAACAAACACTCAGATACACAGACATAAAGATACGCACATTGTCAGATACACATACTTGCAGACATACAGATACACACTGACAAATACACGCAGACATACAGATACACACACATAGACAGACATGCACATTGACGCACACACATGCACAGACATACAGATACGCACATTGACACAAAGATACGCAGACTGACAAACACAGATACACAAACATACAGATACGCACACTGACACACATATAAACAGATACACTGACACACACACACACAGATATACGGATACACTGACACACAGATCTACTGACACACACAGATATACAGATACACTGACACACACAGATATACAGATACACTGACAAAAA